TTGTTGTCAGTCATTTATCTTCTTTGGAATTTTTTATTTTCTCCTTTCTTCCCAAGATAAAATATGGTTGTGGGACTAAGAAATAATTGCAGGATACTTTAATAGCATATGAATAATATTAAGGGTTTACAAACTTTATTCTAGCCCTTATCTTATGAATAACTTTCCATTTGATTTATTATCAAATTTTGCCACTGTTTCAAATGAAAAATAATGCACCGTTTTCTTGAAATGGCTAGACATATATTCTACATTGGTAATTAAAGATTTTTTTTGTTACTTCCCCAGTCGTGAGCATTGTGTTATGTTCATTATGTTCAGATATTTAAAAAAATCTAGTTAGGTCTTTTCTTTGAACAATTTGTATTGTATCACAGGTATTTAAATGTATCAGTCAAACAGTAAAGATTTGTGTACATTTGCTGTTTCGTGAATTCATAATCATTTAGGGGCTGTATCCATGAAAAGGTGTTTTTTTTTACTAAACCTGCAGAGTTAATATTAAAGTCAAACTCAGATCATTACATGATGAATGCTGTCTGGGCATCAATATTTGAACAATAAATACTATATCTACCAAAAAATGGTTCGATAATGTCACATGGGACCAAAAAAATCAATATTGATTTTGAGATCACTTAGTCAAAAGGCCAAGGTCACAGCAGCTATCAATAGATTTGCAAATTTTTATGGCCCTGCTGACTTGGGTCTGGGCCATATCGTTTTACCCTTGTCTGTCATTCTGCCATTCCCATACCTGTCAACCTATGAAAATGAAAATGCAGATCATGACCTGCATTGAAGAAGAACATCTCAGGTCATAACGCGTACAAACTTTTTTTCGGCTGAATTTAAGTAGTTAGGGGACATTTCTTTATATTTTAAATGGAACAGTTTCCAAAATATGTTCACATGGTGAAGTACTAACTGAAAAATAATTTAAAACTTAATTTTATTTTTCCATTGCATAATAAGCCATTGAAATATTAATGTGTTATACTTTGTCATTTCAAGCCAAGCCATACCCCTCTTCTTGTTTCATTCATAATTTTATATCAATTCTCAGGCTACTTGATTCTTTATCCATGTTGTATGTATCAAAATGTGCAACTTCTAAACATTTGTTGATATCTGTATTATGTATATAATGAAAAAATTAAGCATTTAAAGCAAGTAGAGATAAACAAATTAATTTTCAAAATAATTTTTTAATTGTTCTAAGGTAGAAAAATAAAAGAAAATAATATTCTGATATGCATTTGCATTCAATTTGGTTTAGATTTAAATTTTTTACAAAAAAAAACCCATAAAATTAAGCAAATCTAGTTTGTTTCTGAATTATGCCTTTTGAATCATATAGCTCAAATTTTACCTTATGATAATGCCCCATGGATGGAGAAGACCCCTATTTTGATTTTGAGGTAACTAGGTCAAAGGTTAAGGTTGTAACAGCAATAATTTCCCTAAAAAAGAAACCAACTTTTGGTAATAGTTATTTTTCTGGACAAACTCTATGTTTTCTTCCAAAGATTGCAAATAGGCTTTTGCTGTCTCTTCTTGTTTGTCCACACACTTGAGCTTGTATTTGGATTTTTTTTAATTCCTATTCTAACACAGTTGTTTATGTATCTTCTACTTGTTATTAATCTGTCATAGATATAAAGAAGGAGATAATTTAAGTCCTGCAACTATATATCTAAACAGCATGTAAAACTCTGCGACTTTATATTACAAAATGTATTTAAGAGTTTTTGAAACTGTGTTATAAAAGACACGTCTGACACAATTATCAACATCTGTCACTTTAGAATATTACTTACGTTTGATTGGTTCATCAGTTTGCAAATAAACATGAGATAACATGGAGATAAGTGTAAATGATGATGAAAGTGATATATTATATCAAATTACATGGTTAATAAATATGAACAGGTGGACACTTATATCGATTATATTGATACACATACATTTATGGGATATGGGACATATGATGCTTTCAATTTTTTGGCTTCCATTTCTGTTTAATATAAAATAGAGTATAGTTCATGCTCCAACAAAATCATTAGATATTTAAACACGATATTAGGAAGCATGGATTCATTTCCACAAAACTTTTTGGTTGAATTTTCTTAAAGGAAACTTAAATGATCTTTCTTATCTTTAGGTAGCAGTATCATTTTGGAAAGCTTTGGGTGGAGATGATGATGATGGTATAGATTCAAGTGGTGATGAAACATAAATACTGGATAGCAAATCAAACTTTACACAAAAGATTTTAAGGAAGGCTGTGATGTTCTTATGTCATGAAATGTTCCATTTATTTTAAGTGTCTGTGGCTATCATATGAAACAAAGTGTTTAATTCAATGTATCAGTAAAAAAATCAATGTTATGTTATATATTTCAACAAGAGTGCACATACTGAAATGTCTCGCTTGCTTTACTAGCCATGTTTGATTTCATGCTGATAGTCCTAAAGATAAAGTTTTACTACAAGTATCTCATAACCTTAACATTATCAATGATCCATGAAAAAGGTCAAGGTCAGATGAACCCTGCAAGACAGACATGTACACTTTACAATCATTCCATGCATCAATTAAAGTTAACCTATTGCTTATAGTATCTTGAAAGAGGACCTAAATACTGAAATTAAGCATTGAACAATGAAAAATGTAAATGAGGCCAAGGACAGATGATACCTGCCAGAAAGACATATAAACCCTACAATTATGCATGCATCAAATATAGATTACCTATTGCTTATAGTATAAAAAAAACATTGACCAATGAACCATGAAAATGAGGTCAAGGTAAAATGAAAACTGACATCGGACATCTACACCTTACAAATCATTCCATACACCAAATATAGTTGACCTACTCTTACAGTATCTGAGAAACGGACCTAATCAAGTAACTTTAACCTTGATCATTGACCGGACATCGACAGACATGTCAACTTTGCAAGGAATCCATATACCAAATAAAGTTATCCTATCACTCATAGTAAGTGAAAAATTAACATTATAAAAAACTTATCTTTATTTTCAAGCAGGTGCTGAACTGTGAAAATAAGGTCAAGGACAAAGGACATACAACAGACAGAAACTTCGTAACATAAAGCATCTGTATATTAGGTATAAAGCCTCTAGGTCTTCTACCCTCTGAAATATAAAAGCTAAATAAAAATAGTTTATGCTGCAGCTGCTGATGCTGGATTGTAACCTTTGTCTCACATACTGCGACTTATGTCACAGGCGAGACAAAAACCAAGATTATCATTTTACAGCCAAAGGTGAAAAAGAACATATATCAGGGTTTAACTGTTAAACAGCAACCTGGCTTTTCCTTTTTTTTTTTAATAGGAGATAGGAAAATCTAGTGGTAAAAAAAGGTCTCCCTGCAAACAGTGAGAAATTGAACTCTTCAATGTTTTGTATATTCTCCTCAAGGATTCTACTGATTATTATAAGTTGACAAAAAATGTTCTAGAAAATAGTAATAATGAATAGAATTAAAACAAATTTGTTTTAATTGTTTTTTTGGTGCCTCTTGCTGGTCTGATGAGTCCTTTTCCACTGATTTTTAGCTCACCTGGCCCCAAGATGGCCAACATGGCTAGAAATAGAAAGTAGGGGTAAAATGGAAGTTTTCCCTATTATTTCGGAAAACCGCTATAAATAGAGAAAATCTAAGTGAGGCAAAAATGTTAGGAAAGTTGAGCTCTACCTTTTGTCCATTATGTCGAAACTGTCATACGACTTCTTACAGGAGTTATTGCTCCAAAATGAAGAATTTTACCATTTTTAAAAATGTATGTCTATGATCTCGAAAAATTATATCACATAGAGAGAAACTTTAAAAAGCAAAAATGATCAGCAAGACAAGACCTACAAATAAGTCAACATGATCAAAATCATCAGAATACTCCTTATTAGTTATTGCCCTTGAATGACAATTTTTACCAATTTTTTGCGTTATTGCCCAATATTCTAATAAATTGTTAACACAGAGATATGTCTAACTTTTTAATAGTTTTGGTAGTATAATGCAAATATTGAATCCAAATGGCAATATCATGCAAAACATTCAAAGTCGATGAACCATGACTTAATGTGCAGGACCAAATAACCTCCACTGAAATTGCAATAATAAAACTGCATACCAAATACCATTGACTTATCATAATTGACGCCCTTTACACTAACCAACTTATTAACATTGTAAAGTTTCAAAGTCAATGAACCATGATAAGGGGATGTGGCCATATATCTCCATGGAAAAGACTTGCAAATGCTAATACAACTGCATACCAAATATCAATGACTTACATCAGTGGTTCCTCATAAACTGATATAATTACAAACTAACATGTAAACTATGCAAAACATTCAAAGTCAATAGACCATGACTGAGGGGGCAGAGCAAAATAATCTCCACTGAAATGAGATGTGCCAATACTAATGCATCTACATACCAAACACCATTGACCTACAACTAGTGGTCCCCCTTAAACTGACCTAATCACAAACTAATTCATGAACTTAGCGAAAGTTTCAAAGTCAATAGACCCTGACTAAGGGGGTGAGCCAAATAATCTCCATGGAAATGAGATGTGGCAATGCTTATACATTGTATGCAGTTACCATTGACCTACCGGTACCAAGAGTGGTTCCCAATAAACTGGCCTAATCACAACTAATACATTGTTGACGTTGCCGACACCGACAAAGTGATTGTATTACAGCCCCTGCTTTTAGAATGGGTAATATATTTAGTTCATTCAACATATTGAAAAATTCACAACAGGAAGTCTGTGTCAAACAGATCGTAAAAGCGCTCACAGGTTACATCTCATCACTGTCAAGCTGCTGGTACACTTGTTCTTTTATATGAGCATAGACATTCTATTAAAGTTGACATGGTTACAATCATACAAACAAATAAAACAACAAATTGTCAGCATTCATGGGCAGGCTGTATAATGAAACATTAGTGTATAGTATAATGTGTTTTATTGACTCCATACAAAAATACAATAAAAAAAAACAATATCATGGACTTGAGCTTCTAATGTCCCTTAATATCACAGCTAATAAAATCTTTCTTTTACTCTTTAAAAACTTCTTTTTTAGTTCCTTCTGTCATTTTGAACTTTAGTTGATGAAGTTGCTGATAATACTACAGGTGGGAACAAGATCATGTTTGTAGATAAATATAGATATGGATCAAAAATGTATTTTTAGGTCTTTTTAAGACTTTTGTATTTGTAAACTTTGAAACATTAAATTACAACAATAGGGAAGAATTTTGTAACTTTCAATTTATGATTCATTAAATTTGAGGGAAATTATTACTTTTATTAGTTTTACTCAAGTGGGAATGTGAAACAATAATCAAATAACAATATACTGCTGAAGTCAAATATTTACGATACTATAGGAATTACTTGCTGATGATACATCTGATGGTCAGCAGAATTCAGTGGAATTCAACACAATCTAGCCTCCATATATGTTTACTTAAATAAGTCATCTACTTAATAAATTGAAATAGGAGTTAAAACTTTGTGTGAAATTTTCACAACAGAAAACAAAACATCAGAATTAAATAAAACATAAAAACAATAAAAATAGCACTTATGTGTAACGATAAAATACAAATAATCATCAATTTTCTTCCATACTAGATAAAATTTCATCTTCTGTCAGTTCAACATTTAGTTTATGTTTTTTGACTAGATTATTATCGTCAGTAATATCATTGTTTCTTTTAAGATCTTGATTAGGTATAACTTCACTTAATTCATTGTCTCCTGCCTGTGAACTTCTTCCATTCATCACAGTTTTACCTATAATGGGTATAACTTCACTCATCTCGCTGTCTCCAACTGGTTTAGAACCTCCATTTATCATTTCTCCATTTTGGATACCGGTATTGCATGTCTGTGTATCAAGTGAGGAATTGTAAGACAGTTTATTTACACCGAGGTCGGAATCCTCTGTATTGCCATTCTGAACAAGTGATGAAAATGTTACAGTATTTGATGATGAGGGTGTCGATCCAGGAGATAATTTACATGGTGAAGATAAAGGCTTTACTGGTGATGATTTACATGGTGAAGAAGAAATCTTTACTGGTGATGACGAAGGCTTTCCTGGTGATGATTTACATGGTGATGGAACAGGTGGAGGCATCATTGGTGAATATCTCTGTGTAACTGGTGACGACAGAGGTGTTCTGAATGGTGAACTAGGCACTGCTGGAAATACAAAGAACAACTAAGTTATTTCAGGCTTCACACACTGCACATTTAAATATAAAAATACATAGAATTATATGACCGACATCATAGGCATGTTGTTAATAACATTTCTATCTGATCATGCATCAATTCATAAGACATTGTGTAACACAACTCAAATGTGATTATTTGTTGTTAACTTCTGGTCAAAGATTGGAACCACAACAGATACACAAAACATTTAAAGAAATATGGGAGCATTTCACTAGTTTGTAAAGTCTGTAGTAAACTGTGGGTCATATTATATGTGTTCATTTATTTCATCTATGTTTATATATAGGCAAATTTTTATCTTTGAAAGACTGCAATTGGTATTAAAATTTAATCTGATTGACTATACAAGTGCCCCAAGTGAACCAATTGGCTAATGCACATAAATAATATGGCTTCAACTAACAAACATCTATTGATGCATTCAGTAACCAGGTAAACTGAAATCAACAAGGTAAAAGTAATACCATTCAGAATTCCATCAAATTATCACAAGCCACAAAATTAGGCTAGATAATTTCTTTAAACTAATAAATAATTGCATCAGCAATTATCCAACATGGAAAATTAATCTCTATAATTATCACAAGCCTAAAAATCAGGCTGGATATTTATTGTTAATAAACAACTGGTTACTGCAACCCATCTGAGGCTAATGTATCTAGAAACCTTTATATGTCAGTTTTCTCTCTTACTTACATGATGCTTATTAATGTGTAAGGTATTAAATCGTTAAAAATTAAATTCTATTGCAATCCAGGAACAAATTATTTCAGATGAACAAAGAAGTCATGCATAGAACTCCCTCCTCTTTTTAAATAGAAAATGTGTTACCAGGTGCTTTAAATCCTGGTTTTCCCAGCTTTTTCTGTAAAGCAAGCTGTTTGTTTCTCTCAATTCGTTCTCTCTGTTCTGGTGTCAAACCCTGGAATAGTAAAGTTTCATATATTTTAAATATTTATTATAACAAGATTGCTACATGGTAGTATATGTCCCCTGTTGTCCTGCAGGATTTGCATATTATATTGAACAGAGTGGTATTTATACTAGACACTGAAATAATCATAAACAGATCTCAAATTTATGCTGTAAACAATTCACATAAATGAGACAATTTTCCACCAGGTCAACATACAGTCTTCAATAATGAGCAAAACCCATACACCATAGCAAGCTATTAAAGTCTAATATAATGTATTAAAGATGGGACTAAATATTTTTCATAAATTTATATTTTTCAATGTGTATGAAATTTTGTCTTTCATTTTCTTAGTTAAAATCATTATACCTGTCAACCACTAAAAGTGAAACATCAGTCCATAACAACAACTAAAGAACTTTTTTTTCACTAATCATACACATAATTATGCATTGCTGATGACACTTCAATTATTCTAGTACCTAATCAATCTTGACAATACTGACAATTGGGAAAACCCTTTCATCATTAAGTTATACAAGTGGATATGAACGCCTTTTCATCAACACAAACAATCACAACTGTAAATTCAGATGATACCTAGTTAAATCACTTGTGTTGAAAAATGTGTGACACTGTAAATATGACCTACCCCTACGGATGCAGTTGGACTTGATATAGGGGTTGCTATATAAGGTTGTGATGTGTTCTTCAGATCCATTAAAGGTTTTGACAATTGTGATTTAAGTTGAGACATGGGTGTGGTTGCTGTTTGAGATGCTGGTGCCTGTGACAATCTTTGTTCTTCCTCGTGTTCCCTGATGATATCATCCCATTCGGTCTCATCCACAGGATTTACACCATTCTGTAATCAAAATTAAACAACTTCATGTGTCACTTATATTAAAGAGTTTTTAAAGTGTAGGCATAAACATTTTTGTTCAGGGGCCAGCTGAAGCCCGCCTCCAGGTGCGGGATTTTCTCGCTGTGTTGAAGACCCATTGGTGGCCTTGGGTTGTTTTCTGCTCTTTAAGTGGGTTGTTGTCTCATTGACACATTCCGTTTCCATTCTCAATTTTATACATAAACTGACATGTTTCCTTGGTATATTTTCTAAAACATGATTAACTGATACCAAGACAACATACATGTACATCTATTGAAAGTGTTACACATGATATGTCCTACTTAATCCATAGCAAAACTAAGAACAATATTAATGAATGGACTTTATACCATTTCCATCAGATTATAGTTTGTGTGCTGTAAAACTTAACAAATTCAAGAAAGAATGTGTGTTAATAGGAGACTATGCCTCGCTTGCACTGTCATATTTAAGTGTTCAGTAAACCCTGAAAACTGGATCAAATCCTAATTTGGCTAATTTAAAAAATTTCCCTTCAAAATGAACAAGTGTACAAACTATCAAGTTTATGTGACCACAACTGCATGGTAAACTACCTTGACCAAAAAATTTAACTTGATACAGGAAAACTCTTCTACTGTAGGCGGGCATAAAAAACATGTTACTTCAAATTCAATAAAGAAATGGAGCTTTGTTTTCTTTGGCATAGACTTTATGACACAACTTGACCAAAGTAAATTATGCATAAAACATAAACTAAACATGGTGCAAAACTTTACCATAACTATTCATCTATAAAACTGTAACTTAATTCTAGTGTGGAATTCAATCCCAAGTCATGATGCATCAACAATCAAAAAGATCACATCATGTATGATTATAAGTTGCATAGCCCTGGACCTTAACACAAAACTCAACCCAATGGACAATCAAACAAAGAGACCTTTGAATGCAAATAAAACAGCAAGTTTTTATTTAAAAATCATTTCAGAGTAAAAACCAAAGGAATTTAGCAGATTGCTCAATTTACTTCAGCAAGATGTGTGAACAAGACTGGACATGGTCAACAAATGGTCTGATTTGCCAGTCAAGTCCTATATTTGGACTCCTATTTGTTTTACCTTTTTAGGACTTTTATCTTTATCACTGCCTCCAGCTTCATCATCAGAAGCATCTTGTATATAATCTTCATTCAATAATGGCATATCTAACCTCATCTTCTTTATACAGGTCTGAAAGCAATATCAAATTTGATTATTGGATCATGTTTAACTTTGTTATAATTGTCATGTAATAAATCAGACATGTTCATGACAAAAGATTTGAATTATCAAAGTACCATCTTACAACAATAGATAGTTCACTTTTGCTCTTAACTAAGCAGTTTCCCTTCCAATTGTTTTGCTTTTATTTAGTTTTTCAGTATTCAAGTAATTGGCAAGTTAGTTTTTTTTTAAATGTGACCATATAACATGTATAACAAGTTTGGTTATAATCCCCAGTAAAATTTATCAGTATCCTCCTGAAACCTCTTTTTGCACTAATTTTGGTCAATATAGATCAGTAACTGTGACGTTGATTGAGGATGTATTGACCTCATAATCAATAGAAATTTCTTCTTATTAAAAGTGACCATGTATCCAAATTTGGTTCCAAGTTCTTGAGGTATCATCTGGTAATTCCTTTTCTGTAAGAATTTTTAGATCTTTTTGCAGTATTCATGACCTTGGCCTGGCCATGTGGACCCAAGCTCAAAAACCTAAATGTGGCATTCACAATATTATAAGCTGACTTCAAGTATGTCCGATTTCTGCTAAAAAGTGGAAATACTTTTTACAACAGTTAACCTTACCTGAACTTCTTTCTTTGTCCCAAGTTTTTCTATTCTTTCCAAGACTTCGTCAAAAGGCATCATGGGAAATAGCCTATGAGCCCAGTGCTCTAAATATCTCATTATGATTCTTAAATCTTGTGTCTGAAATAATATTTTTTTACATCAATGTTTAACAAGAACACCTTAAATTTAAACATCTCTTCATAGAACTCTATATTAATCAGGGTTCATTCTCTCCACAAAGTGATTTACTGCACCAAGATTGGTGAAGCCACAAGTGGTAATCTATTATATTATTGAATGTGGTGTCCGCCATTTGTTTGTCTCTATTAGTATGCACCTTTTATACCAATATGAAAATTTCCTATATAGGAGTTATAATTCCTACCAACAGTTTTCAAACAATGTTAATTTTCAAGCTTGATTGAGATTTTGCTATTGAATCTATACTATCCATTGAGAAATTAGAACATCAGAGAACTTGTAAAGTAATTTTCTCAATTTCAAAGATTTTCCTACAAACATGACAAAGGTACCCATTTGAAAATTTAACTATGATTTTATCTACACCTTTTTATATATATTTTTTGTATTCTTGAATATATATCCATAACACATATAAAAATCATATAACACTTACTTCGTTCCCTTGGCCTTTAAACTTAACCTTTTCAAATACTTTGGGAAGAATGGGTATTCCCCTTTCACCTGTCAATCTGAAAAAAGTACACATAATTCATATAATAGTACACTGTATGCCAGAATTTTTCCATGCATGTTTATATTTTGCTATATGTGGATTGACTTAAGTTAATAATGGCAAAATATGGCCAGGAATATTTTGCTGCTAACTATCACTCCATAATTGTGAATAAAAGCAAAAACAAAAATATCCTGATATATGCTAAGATACACAACAAAAATTATAAAGAAAGCAACAATTCATAATTTTTTTTTACAATAAAATCAATAAAAAGAATAAAGTTTGGTTGTCTTGTATAGATTTGTTTAAAACAATTTTTCTAGGATTTAAATATTTTACTTCCTGTTAATCTGCTGAAGTTAAAATACAGAAATGAGAAGTGTATTCACTTAATATAGTAGTGTTAAGAACTTTGGTCATCATTTCAAGAACCTTTTAAATTTGTATCAAAAAGTAATATACACTTATTTCCCTAATACTGCCCTCTAAAACACTGGATGTTATTAGAAATTTCCAATACGTCATCTATGCATCTATAATAAACTACTATAATTCATAGACCATAAACTTTTATTTTCTCCTTAATAATAAGATATAACAGTGCTAACATTAGATATACAATAATTTTTGCTATTCTACAAATTTAAAATATTCCTGGATAATCTCCACAGACCCAAAACCTGATTTTTATAAAAACATGTCATGTGAAAGTAAAATAAACTGCTTCGCTGAACGCAGCTGGATACGCCCTCTGAGGTCCAACCCGGAACAGTTGGGGCAAAAATGGACACAATATTCAAGCTTGATACAGGTCTGAATTTAGATTGTAATTAAATATTTGACATATTATAGGTTTCTGAATAAATGTAGTCAAAGAACTTGAAATTGGTTATATGAATTGAATTTATATTCAATTAAAGATTTCTTGCTGTTGTGCAATACACTATGCTGTTGCACAATACTTAGTAAATCTGTTGTCAGACTATAAACAAATAAAATTTATAAAATTCTAAAAGGAGCTTACATCAATAGATATAATCAATTCACCAAAGTTTCAAAAGAATTGCTGAAAGCATTTTTGAGTTATTGTCTGAAAACTGGAAAATCACCCCTTTTTTAATGGATAAAAACCCATAACTCGAAAATGTAAAATCTAAAATTTATAAAATTCTAAAGGGAGCTTACATCAATAGATATCAACAATTCATCAAAGTTTCATGAGAACTGCTGAAAGCATTTTTGAGTTATTGTCCGAAAACTTGAAAATCCCCCTTTTTTTTTTGAAAAAAACCCCGTAACTTGGAAACGTAAATTCTAAAATTTATAAAAATCAATAAAATGCTTCGCTGGGGCGCAGCTTGATACGACCGCAGAGGTCGAACCCTGAACAGTTGGGGCAAGTATGGACACAACATTCAAGCTTGATACAGCTCTGAATTTGGATTGTTATTAAATATTTGACACAGCATAGGTTTCTGACACAGAAAGAATGTGGTCTAAGAACTTGAATTTTTTTAATTTACCTATTATGGTCCAATGTCCAAAATCAAAATACATGGTTAGATTCAGCATATCAAAGAACCCCATATATTCAATTTTTGTTAAAATCAAACAAAGTTTAATTTTGGACCCCAACTTGGACAAACTTGAAAACTGGGCCCATAATAAAAAATTCGTAAGGGTTCCGCGGAACGTAGTGTCTCGCCTACTTTTGCTGTTAATTGCAGGCTCAACAAAAATGAGGAAAAAAATTAATAAAAATATTCCTCTCTATACTATCTTTTCATTGTAAGTAGCTTCTGTCCAAGTTTGGTAAAAATCCAGGATAGTTTATCAATCTAATAAATGTTTTAAAAACTTAAAGTGCAGACTGTATGTTATGTTAACTGGAAGAAAAACTAAGTCCATTTACAAGTAAAATACGGAAAAAATGGAATTTATTTTTTACTTTTTTACAAAATTTACTTCTGGATACTATCTTTTGATCATAAACAAGGTTCTTTCCAAGTTTGGTAGAAATCCAGGATAGTTTAAGAAAGTTATTAAAATTTCAAAAACTTTAACCACAGAGTGAATGTAATGTTTCATGGCAGAAAAACTAAGTCCATTTATAAGTAAAATACAGAAAAAATGGAATTTTTTTTTTACAAAATTTACTTCTGGATACTATCTTTTGATCATAAACAAGCTTCTTTCCAAGTTTGGTAGAAATCCAGGATAGTTTAAGAAAGTTATTAAAATTTCAAAAACTTTAACCACAGAGTGAATGTAATGTTTCTTGGCAGAAAAACTAAGTCCATTTATAAGTAAAATACGGAAAAAATGGAATTTTTTTTTTTACAAAATTTACTTTTGAATATTATCTTATGATCATAAACAAGCTTCTGTCCAAGTTTGGTAGAAATCCAGGATAGTTTAAGAAAGTTATTAAAATTTCAAAAACTTTAACCACAGAGTGAATGTTATGTTTCTTGGCAGAAAAACTAAGTCCATTTATAAGTAAAATACGGAAAAATTGGAATTTTTTTTTTACAAAATTTACTTTTGAATATTATCTTATGATCATAAACAAGCTTCTGTCCAAGTTTGGTAGAAATCCAGGATAGTTTAAGAAAGTTATTAAAATTTCAAAAACTTTAACCACAGAGTGAATATTTGTGGACGCCGCCGCCGACGGAATGTAGGATCGCTATGTCTCGCTTTTTCGACAAAAGTCGAAGGCTCGACAAAAATCTAAACATATGTTTAGATTCAGCATATCAAAGAACCTCAAGAAATCAATTTTTGCTAAAATCAAACTAAGTTTAATTTTGGACCCTTTAGACCTTAATGTAGACCAATTTAAAAAACAGGACTTAAAATTAAAAATCTAAATACACGGTTAGATTTGGAATATCAAAGAACCCCAATAATTCAATTTTTGATGAAATCAAACAAAGTTTAATTTTGGACCCTTTTGACCTCAATATGAACCAATTTGATAGCGGGGCCCACAAATAAAAAATCTAAATTCATGGTTAGATTCAGCATATCAAAGAACCCCATATATTCAATTTTTGTTGAAATCAAAAAAAGTTTAATTTTGGACCCCAACTTGGACCAACTTGAAAACTGGGCCCATAATCAAAAATCTAAACACATGTTTAGATTAGGCATTTCAAAGAACCCCAAGAATTCAATTTTTGTTAAAATCAAACTAAGTTTAATTTTGGACCCTTTGGACCTCAATGAAGACCAACTTAAAAAACGGGACCCAAATTAAACATCTAAAAACACGGTTAGATTTGGCATATCAAAGAACCCCAATAATTCAATTTTTGATGAAATCAAACAAAGTTTAATTTTGGACCCTTTTGACCTCAATATGAACAAATTTGATAGCGGGGCCTACAAATAAAAAATCTAAATACATGGTTAGATTCAGCATATCAAAGAACCTCATATATTCAATTTTTGTTGAAATCAAACAAAGTTTAATTTTGGACCCCAATTTGGACCAACTTGAAAACTGGGCCCATAATCAAAAATCTAAATACATGTTTAGATTCAGCATATCAAAGAACCCCATATATTCAATTTTTGTTGAAATCAAACAAAGTTTAAATACTGGACCCTATCTTGGACCAACTTGAAAACTGGGCCCATAATCAAAAATCTAAACACATGTTTAGATTCAGCATATCAAAGAACCCCAAGAATTCAATTTTTGTTAAAATCAAACTAAGTTTAATTTTGGACCCTTTGGACCTTAATGTAGACCAATTTAAAAAACAGGACCCAAAATTAAAAATCTAAATACACGGTTAGATTTGGAATATCAAAGAGCCCCAATAATTCAATTTTAGATGAAATCAAACAAAGTTTAATTTTGGACCCTTTTGACCTCAATATGAACCAATTTGATAACGGGGTCCACAAATAAAAAATCTAAAGAACCCCATATATTCAATTTTTGTTGAAATCAAACAAAGTTTAATTTTGGACCCCAATTTGGACCAACTTGAAAACTGGGCCAAAAATCAAAAATCTAAATACATGTTTAGATTCAGCATATCAAAGAACCTCATATATTCAATTTTTGCTAAAATCAAACAAAGTTTAATTTTGGACCCTTTGGACCTTAATGTAGACTATTTTGAAAACTGGACCCAAAATTAAAAATCTAAATACACTGTTAGATTCGGCATAACAAATAAATAAATGTGATCAAAGATTTTACAAATCTAATGGGCCATACTGTGCAATTAAAGATTACTTCTTGAAATCTTTCAATATTTGAAATTTGAAAAAAAAATAATATTTGAAGAATAATTCTTTTTAATTTCTGAAATCTGAAATGAGAAAAAATTGACCCCCCACAATTTCTTTTTATCCCCCCCCCCTTTTTTCCCCCAAAAAATTCTTTCCCTCAAGATATGGTCATAATCTCAATTCAAATTTCCAATGGAGTTGGCAACCATAATTACCCATTTAATTTTACCATAGTGCTAACTTAATCTATTTTATAATAGAATTAAAAATATAGTGTCAAATCTTTCATATAGATTTTTTTGTAAAATAAAATGATGCAACATTCGCAGATATTTTTACTGGTCTTCCTTTATAAATATGCATTTCTTTAAACATAATTTAAAAGCAGTGTAAGGGAAGTAAGCAAAACGTTGTATTTGGATTACCTCCCTTACACTGTTTTAAAATATCTTTATTGTTCATTAACCATTACTTTATACATAATTTAAAAGCAGTGTAAGGGAGATAATTTCAATGATGTATTTGATTTATCTCCCTTACACTGCTTTAAATTATGTTTTGTACTAAAGTATTTGTCCATTAACCAGGACAACCTTGTTTTTCCCCCTTTTTTGCCCCTAATTCCTAAACAGTTTGAGCCATAACCCCCCAAAGCAAATCCTAACCATCCCTTTGTGGTATGGAAACTTGTAGTATAATTTCAGAGAGATCCATACACTGTTCCACAGTTATTGTCTGGAAACTAGAAAATGCTTATTTTTGGCCCCTTTTTGGCCCCTAATTCCTTAACTGTTGGTACCATAACCCCCAAAATCAATCCCAACCTTCCTTTTGTGGTATTTAACCTTATGGTAAAATTTCAAAAAGATCCATTCACTTAAACTAAAGTTAGAGTGCGAAAACCAATGTGTATTCGGACGACGACGACGACGCCAACGTCATACCAATATACGACCACAAAAATTTTTTTGCGGTCGTATAAAAAGGAGCTCATGTCAATAGATATAAACAATTAACCAAAATTTCTTGCAAGTTGGTGAAAGCATTCTTGAGTTATTGTCCGAAAACTGGAAAACCCCCCTTTTTTCAATGAATAAAACCCCATAACTCGGAAACGTAAAATCTAAAATTTATAAAAACGAAAGGGAGCTCACGTCAATAGATATAAACAATTCACTAAAGTTTTATGCAAATTGGTTAAAGCGTTTTTGAGTTAATGTCTGACATGTTGACGACGGACGGACAGACAGACAGACGGACGGATGGACGGACAGAGGTATACCATGATACGTCCCGTAAACGGGCATATAAAAATTCAATATCAATAAGAACCAGTCTATACAGTTCAAGGAAAAAGTATGGTGAGGTTTTCTTTTTGGCCTGTTGAATACAAAAATAAATGGGGAATGTGTCCATGGGACACAGATGATGTCCCTGCTTGCATACAACGTTATAAACGGCCATAACTCAAGAACTGTAAAAGTGACACTACCCAAATTTGAACTTGATCTGAGTTTTGTGGTAATAAGCATTGTTTATAAGTATCATAACATTTAGTTGACGTAAACTTAAATTAGAGAACAGAAACAAATATTTCAGCAATTTTGAGATTTGTAAAGGGGCACAACTTTAGAACGGTAAAAGTGACGCCACCAAAATTCAAACTTGATCTGTCTTTTGTGGTTATAAACATTGTGGATAAGTTTCATAACATTTGGTTGAGGCAAACTAAAGTTAGAGAACGGAATAGAAAAATTCAGCAATTTTTCCATTTGTAAAGGGGCATAACTCAACAACTGAAAATTGGCCACCAAAATTCAAACTCGATCTGTGTTTTGTGGTAATAAGAATTGTGGATAAGTTTTATAACATTTGATTTAAGCCAACTAAAGTTAGAGAACGGAAACCAATTTTGGGATGTATGGACGTACAGACGGACAAGGGTAAAACTTAATGCCCCCGTCGCTACGGCGGGGGCATATAAATCACCAAGTATTAATAATCTATCAAATGACATCCTTATGATATTCCAAAGACACTCTGTTAGAAGTTTTAATAAAATTTAGGAATTTGCTGTACGTCTTCAAACTTTTTTACTGTAAAGAAAACTGCCAAAATTACTTCATATTTAGATCATTCCATCAATATCTAGATATGAACTACAGCCTAAAGTGAAAATAACTTTTGCAACAAGATGTCTTATACAAAGATGATGATGTAAGTACCTAATTCTTGGGTAAGGCTATTTCTCTTTATCAATTTTTGGTCAAACAAGTTTTTACTATGGCAAAATGATATAGAAAAAGACATTTCTGTACTAAAATAGTCAAACTGCTAGTAGTCCTTTGTTAATTTATGTATCATTGTCATTTTGCTTAGTTTCTTCCGTTACCTATTCTGACATTGGACTCGGACTTCTTTTAAACTGAGTTTACTGTGCGTACTGCTGTGTGTTTGTTTATTCTACATTGGCTACAGGTATAGGGGGAGGGTTGAGATCTTACAAAACATGTTTAACCCCGCTGCATTTTTGCGTCTGTCCTAAGTCTGGCCTTTGTTAGTCTTGTATGTTTTTTTAATTTCAGTTAATTTATATGTTTCGGAGTTTAGTGTGACGTCCATTTTCACTGAACTAGAGCACATTTTTGTTCAGGGGCCAGCTGAAGCCCGCCTCCTGGTGCGGGATTTTCTCGATGTGTTGAAGACCCATTGGTGGCCTTGGGCTGTTTTCTGCTCTTTGGTTGGGTTGTTGTCTCTTTGACATATTCCCCATTTCCATTCTCAATTTTAAACTAAATAATCCTATTCTTTTAAGAATAAAACTTAAAATAAAACAATTGAAAGGACTGACTAATTTTACTCTTTTTGGCAATTTATGGGACAAAACAAAGCTTGACACAACTAGACAAGACATACTGGGGACAAAACAAAGCTTGGCACAACTAGACAAGTCATTACACCACCCTATTTTGCAGAGAATCTGAGATTCACACAGGTTTATGGGACAAAACAAAGCTTGACACAACTAAACAAGTCATTACATCACCCTATTTCTGCAGAGATTCACAAATAAGATAACAATGACAGAATTCATCATAATTTTCAAAAATATCTTTGAGTTAACTTTTACAAGCATCCCTGTTACAACTCCTCCCTCTCAACCTACCAAATCTTATATTTTCTTTAAGTTTGGTAAAGATCTAGGCTAGATAATAGCCATTGGAAAAAATTGTTCTAATTAATATAATAAACTAATTGATAATACTTTGGTTTTCTATCATAACCTTAGTTTGACACTTTGACCTTTTTATCATAAGCAGGTGTTAAAATCAGAAAATCAAATAATAAAACTTTTAGAGATCAAACATTACTTATATCCTGTTGACCTTGGTCAACAAGTTCTAACTTAAGTAAACAAGTTGTTCAAACTTCTGTAGTGTAAACAAATATTAAAGACCTATTTATTTACAATCAATCATTTCTAATATAGTTCATCTATGACCTATATATAATTGTGTATGTCTCAGGGATATACATGTACATGGATGTGAAATCAGGATTTTTCTAAGAAATTTTGCTTTCAGGAAAAAAAATAATTTCAGTAGTTTGTGCAAAACATTCAGCAGAGAATTAAGTTTGATCTTATTTGTTTTGTCTTAAAAGAGTATGTTCAAAAGTGATATTTAAAAAAAAAAAAAAAAAAAAAAAACCCTAAATTGCATTCTTTTTAAGAAAGAGATAAGTATTTTTTGTGAAGTCTTACTTGCATTCTATATATACTGTAAATTCAGAAATTATTGCGAGGTTTTTCTTAATGCAAATAATGCAACTGAGTGAGTGAGTATCACACTTTGATATCTGTTACATATATCTTTATGCAGAATTTCCTGAATTCACAAGAATAAATTACGCATTTTTGTTCATTCTTCAAAAATAGCAATAATAAATGCACACAATAATTTCTGAACTTACAGTACTGTGGGAAATTATTTGATGCTAAAGTAAAATATGAGTGTATACCTTTGCCCATCTAACTTTGGCATGGGTTTCCTCACCACTTTCTTTGCTGCTCCTTTTGATAAATCTTTTAATTTAGACATAACATCTGTATTATCTACAACAGATAATTTATTTAGGATTATGGAATATTGTAATTACAAAGTACTAACTAAGGTTTCTTTTCACATGAAAAGCTATTTTCACTATCAGTTATAAATTATTTATTTATCTATCAAGTCATTAACAATTCATTTTTCTTGATTTTGCTGACAGTTACAATTCATTTTCATAATTTGGGAACAGTTTGATTATTTTTCTCAAATAAAAATTCACATGTTAGTGCTAGGCACACCCTTCTCATATCTTAAGAATTAAGGTGTCTGACAAATCCAAACACACACACACACATTACAACTCATCACTGTTGAGTTGCTGACCAAATATGAAGTCATTCTTTTCAGTAGTATTGGAGAAAAATTTAAAGATCATTCAACATATTGATACAGTCCAAGGTATATTTCAACACATTGAGAAAATTAAAGTATTGGCAAACAGGAAGTATGTATTTGATAGAACAGAAAATTGCTTAAATGTTACAATTCATTATTGTCAAGCTGCAGATCAAACATGAAATCATTCTGTTAAATAATTTCTAAGAAAAGCGAGAAGAAAACATTTGTAGGAAGACAGATGGACTGAGGAACAGACAAGGAGATTGCAATACAGCCCCTGCTCCTACACGAGTTACTACAGTAGAGGTATAATAATAATTTGAATGAAATATTTCACAATGCTTTCTCTAATTATTAAGATGGTGTAATATTTCAAATTTTTCTCTTTATTTGTTCATGTTACATTCATGTTCTTAAAATTTTGCCATCTTAATAAGAGAAAAGGATGTTTATGATCTTTTTACCAAATCATTAGAAAAAGGTCCATTGCAGCTCCAACTGGACATTAAGTTCATGTAAAAACATCAGATAAAATTTCCCCAATATTGAACTAAAGGGAAATAACACTTTTCAACTCTTCATACTCATGAATAGTAAAGAAAGTTGGTATTTTTTTTTTTAATAAAAAAAAAGAATTCTCATGAAAGAATATTATATTATTATGGATGCAATGGTAGAATCTATACATGACATCCATGTTGTGGATATATCTAGTTGTAACTGACAAAAGGATACATTCTTATACAGAGCCAGTAAACAATCTAATTAAATCACTGTAGCCTTAGCCTGATGACCCACTTATGACTTATTGGAAATCAATCTTCCATAAACCCCATTTGAACTTCTGACTTTTTATTATTATTAGTTATTCCTGGGACTATTATACTAACAGTTATTATTATAATAGTCCCAGGTTATTCAGACTTTGAAATAATCATATCAAGTTTTCTTGCTAATTGTAATAACCAATAACAATTTGTTAATTTGTGAATACCAGTATTTCTTATTTGGAAATATTTTTACTGAAATTTGAATTTTGAAGTCAATATTACGATTTGTGTCTGTTTTAGTTGAGAAATATATATAAAAGGCTCCTAAAAGATTACTAATTAATTAAAGTTTTTGAAATAATTGGCAAAATTATAAATTAGTACAAAATCTTCCTTCAAGGGCAATAACTCCCAGGAGTAACCAAATGGTTACAGACATATTGGCATTTTGTAGATCAGTATTGTCCCACTCAACCATTCTTTTAATTCTACCCCAATACTTTCAAATTGAGAGTTTCTCTTCTCTGAAAAAACATAAGTTTATATAGCAACTATGCTTTCCTCATACACATCAACCATAATATATTTTGAGGAGGAGTATATGGACAAAAATATAAATAGAATAGAGAATGGAAGTGGGGAATGTGTTGAAGAGACAACAACCCAACCAAAGAGCAGAAAACATAGGCCACCAATGAGTCTTCAACGCAGCGAGAAAATCCCACCCAGAGGTGGACTTCAGCTGGCCCCTTAACAATAATGCATACTAGTTCAGAAAAATGAACACCACACTAAACTATAAAACATAAAATTGAACCAAAATTTAAAATTAAAAAATGTGTCAGAGGACATGAATGCCCCCGCTCAAGCTTTGCAACGAAAATGGGACAGACGGAAAGATGGAAGCTTAAGGTTAACACTTAATGCCCCTGTTGCCTACAGCAGGGGCATTAAAACATGCAAGAATAACAAAGGCTAGAGGTTCCTAACTTCGGATAGGCGCAAAAATGTTGTGGGGTTAAAGATGTTTTGTGATATCTCAACCCTCCAATAACTCTAGCCAATGTGGAATAAACAAACACACAGCAAAAAACACCATAAAAGTCAGTTCAAAAGAAGTCGGAGTCTGATGTTAGAAAAGGTAACAGAAGAACTACCCATATCATGCCAACAACTGGTACAAGTTCATTTCACCATTGTAACTGGTATTTTCTGGGACATAATTAGGTTTCCACTGGAATTAGATAGTTTAAAATACTGTAAATTCAGAAATTATTGCGAGGTTTTTATTATTGCGACAAAGTTGTAAACGCAATAATTTAAACTCTCATTTTGAAATATTTTAAATGAACTAAACAGGATTTTTCTCAAAATTGTAAAAATTAAAATCGCATTTAAGTCTAAAATGACAAAATCGCAATAATAAATGCACGCAATAATTTCTGAATTTACAGTAACTAACTCCTTTTTTCACACATCACCATGATACATTATACCATGTACACTTGATACAGAGATAACGAACTCCTTTTTTCACACATCACCATGATACATTATACCATACACTTGATACAGAGATAACGAACTCCTTTTTTCACACATCACCATGATACATTATACCATGTACACTTGATACAGAGATAACTAACTCCTTTTTTCACACATCACCATGATACATTATACCATACACTTGATACAGAGATAACTAACTCCTTTTTTCACACATCACCATGATACATTATACCATGTACACTTGATACAGAGATAACTAACTCCTTTTTTCACACATCACCATGATACATTATACCATACACTTGATACAGAGATAACTAACTCCTTTTTTCACACATCACCATGATACATTATACCATGTACACTTGATACAGAGATAACTAACTCCTTTTTTCACACATCACCATGATACATTATACCATACACTTGATACAGAGATAACTAACTCCTTTTTTCACACATCACCATGATACATTATACCATGTACACTTGATACAGAGATAACGAACTCCTTTTTTCACACATCACCATGATACATTATACCATGTACACTTGATACAGAGATAACTAACTCCTTTTTTCACACATCACCATGATATATTATACCATACACTTGATACAGAGATAACTAACTCCTTTTTTCACACATCACCATGATACATTATACCATGTACACTTGATACAGAGATAACGAACTCCTTTTTTCACACATCACCATGATACATTATACCATACACTTGATACAGAGATAACTAACTCCTTTTTTCACACATCACCATGATACATTATACCATGTACACTTGATACAGAGATAACGAACTCCTTTTTTCACACATCACCATGATACATTATACCATACACTTGATACAGAGATAACTAACTCCTTTTTTCACACATCACCATGATACATTATACCATGTACACTTGATACAGAGATAACGAACTCCTTTTTTCACACATCACCATGATACATTATACCATGTACACTTGATACAGAGATAACTAACTCCTTTTTTCACACATCACCATGATACATTATACCATGTACACTTGATACAGAGATAACGAACTCCTTTTTTCACACATCACCATGATACATTATACCATGTACACTTGATACAGAGATAACTAACTCCTTTTTTCACACATCACCATGATATATTATACCATACACTTGATACAGAGATAACTAACTCCTTTTTTCACACATCACCATGATACATTATACCATGTACACTTGATACAGAGATAACGAACTCCTTTTTTCACACATCACCATGATACATTATACCATGTACACTTGATACAGAGATAAAGAACTCCTTTTTTCACACATCACCATGATACATTATACCATACACTTGATACAGAGATAACTAACTCCTTTTTTCACACATCACCATGATATATTATACCATACACTTGATACAGAGATAACTAACTCCTTTTTTCACACATCACCATGATACATTATACCATGTACACTTGATACAGAGATAACGAACTCCTTTTTTCACACATCACCATGATACATTATACCATGTACACTTGATACAGAGATAACGAACTCCTTTTTTCACACATCACCATGATACATTATACCATACACTTGATACAGAGATAACGAACTCCTTTTTTCACACATCACCATGATATATTATACCATACACTTGATACAGAGATAACTAACTCCTTTTTTCACACATCACCATGATATATTATACCATACACTTGATACAGAGATAACTAACTCCTTTTTTCACACATCACCATGATACATTATACCATGGAAGTAATATTGAAAGGAATAACATCGTCGTCACTTCAAAGGTTTCATCTGCGTTACCGCCCATCTTTCGATAACTCGTTAATTGGTTTAATATATGGCATGGTAATTGACTCTCGACATGTGATAGATCAAATCACTGACACTTTTCGGTCATTTTCGTGTTCCCGGAAAATTACGAATAGACCAGTTGTTGTCGTATGTACGTACGAAGTAACCCGAATAGTTCACTCGTTACATTCCGCTGCTGTACGCTACCGAATAGAGTCAGTCATTCAATGTTGATTTTAGTCTATTTTTCCTATTTATGTCTTTTTCGATCTTAATAGTTTAGGCCGACAGTTATCACATATTGAATTTAAGAAAAAGGGTGGATCATTTTCAATTTTAATACTTAAAACCATGCAGTTAATTAAGAAGACATTTCTGAATGATTGTACAAAAAATATGTTTCGACCCCCTTTTATTTAATACGAATAATCCAAGTCTTCCGTGTATACCAGGCAAATTAAATATTCACAATTTTAAACGTTTCTATTCTTTAATTTGTACATAAACAAATTCATATAAAATAAATTTGCGGTTAGACAGATAGCGTCAAGCTCGTATTGTATGGTTGATTTTCTTTTTGCTGTAACGTGCTACATTAATATTAGTATTCAATTGTAAACACTTTTTTAAAATAGATATAAATTTAACATGTTTACGAACTTTTGATCCCGATTTTCATTGTCCAGTTTCAATAACGTAATCAATTACTTGAAAGTAAATATTTTTATAAATCTCGATAAACTTGGCACATTTCAACAGTAAAATATTCTATGTCTACATCTGTCTACATTATTTTGTTCAACATCATGTGAAACCTGATCAATTCATCGGTATTTAACTGTTTTACTCGGGATCCGCTTTTAACCGGAAAATACTTTTAGAACAGTTTAAAACAAACGGTAAAAAGCAAAAATATGCTAAATTAAATACAATTTTCCAAGCTAAACTGTTGTAGGTTGAACAATTCTCGTCCGTTTTTCAAGTTTTTTACATCATACGACTTCTTTCTGAAGGTAGAGGTTTTATATGATACAGCGCCACCTTCTTATTAATAAACCTCGGATTTCACACAGGTGCTTTATAATTACCGGACTCGATAAAATCATGTGACTGATAAGAAATTCCAGATGCCATTTTACAACCGCGGTATCACAGATAGTAACCAAAGGGGTCTTGCCGCTGAGACTATAATTGGATAAAATCATATGACTTTAGTACAGAGCTCTGCAGGCTGTTAATACATGCTAATTAGTCGTTGTTATTCCTTTTAAATATTACTTCCATGATTATACCATACACTTGATACAGAGATAACTAACTCCTTTTTTCACACATCACCATGATATATTATACCATACACTTGATACAGAGATAACTAACTCCTTTTTTCACACATCACCATGATACATTATACCATACACTTAATACAGAGATAAGTCAGACAAAACATAAATACAGTGGACGCTCAAATGTCGTCTCAATTCATAGATTTGAATAATATTTATTCCTGATCTCTCAAAAATTCTGTGATCTCCAATTATTTTTGTCAGTCTGATCAACTTTGAGATACTGAGAGTCGACTCTATGATTAGCACTATACCTTCATCTTCTCCTTCAGCAGCCCCCTCCTCTCCATCAGGTAGATCTGGAAGCGGCCCAACAGAGGGGAAATCATCATCTGCTGCTTCTTCTTCAAATATATCTTCCATGTCAAGATTAACTGATTCCATGTCTTTATTCTTCAACAAACTGGAAATACAGATAAATCTTTAAGCATCTAACCATACATTAATTTCAATTAGCATGCCAGTTTGCATACAGTGGTAAATAAATCTATACAAGTACAAAGACCTATACTAACAGTAATCCTAAGATTTCTGAATGCAATATCAGGGCAAAGTATCTAATATGAAGAAAATAAATTTTAGTGTAAGAGTCAATATAGGTTTTTTTCTCCATTGTGCTCATAAAAAATATCACTAGCCAAACCTTTCAAAAGAACTTTGTGGTGCTAAACATTGCTCAAGTCTGTTCTTATAGAAAAAATTTACAGTAATTGTATACTGCGAAACATATCCCTACAGTTTGAAATTTTATTCAAATACATCATGTACATGTAGCCTTATGCACGACTTTTGACAATTTTTACATCCTGTAGGCCATTACTTCATTCAAACAATTATCTCACTTACCGATTACTTTTATTTTAATGTTTTATTCCTAAACTCTTTTTTATTGAAGTAATCTTTATTTTGTTTCTGTTGCATTTAACAATTATTCTATTACCAGTAAAAGGAAAGGAAGGGGATAAGGGTGCTTATACTTTATAACAATATTTGTACCTTAATATAAAAGTAACCTACTGAACTTTTACTGAACTAACCAATTTTAATTACAACATGGTTTTAGAATCACCTTTTGCTGTCATTTGATTTTCAAGGTAGTTGCTTTTACAGCATTATAAAAAATTCTAATAAATGTATGGCAATGAAAGAATGAGAAACACTTGCAGGGAAAAGACATTTTATTTAGAGTGGAATCAGACTAGACAGGATTTTCTGACCACTGACCAGAAACCTGTCAGCTTTTTTTTTCTTTTTCATTAAACAGGGACAAGATCTGCTTTGTCAGTATACCAAAGGGTGAAACTGCATTGCTCTTACTGCCTTCTTTGGCAAACAAGGCAGAAACAACCATGTTTTTACCAGCTACCTTTTTTGCCAAATTTTTTAAAACGTCATTAACATTAAACCTTAAGATATTCAATCTGGATATCTGGACCTTCATTATTCTTCTGGTCATACTTGCAACTTATTTATTAGGAAATCCTTTTTTTCTCTTGTTCTAAAACTACAACAAACGTATGTAGTCCTGCATTCTAGTTTCACATTTTAAAAACATTTATGTTACATGTACATGTAGAATGCAACAAGAATTTCATATATATGCTATTAATTCAATATTGTTTTCAGACCCAGTATTTCCTTTTAAATTCATAATTCAATGAATTATCATGAGTAGGTAGGTAGGCAAATGAAGGTATTCTTGAAAATATTTTACAGACTATTTAGTGAAATGTTTTGGACTTTTAATGGTGCTTAACCTAAATTGTCTAGACTTTAAAACTCTTTAACCAAAAATATCCATGAAACAATCGGATTAAAATCAGATCTTTCACTTTGATCCGTTAGACCTGACCCCTTATTGAATAATTTCATATCCTAAAGGCAACAAACAAATCCAACAGAGCAAAGTGAAATGTTCAATAAATGTTTTAGGGTCGGCATGAATATTAAAAAGGAATTATTATTAAAAGGAAAACAGAAACAAAACTATATTATGTGAGGATGGGGCTTCACATTCCCCTTTTCAATTCAAGAAAAAAAAATAGTACCCTCACATAACTAAACTATTAAATCCCTTTGCCTTATCAAGTTTACTTTGATTTGATTTTAATATTCAAAAAAGTAAACCCGTAAACTCTATGAAACCTGCATGCAAGTAGATTTACATGTAACTTTTAATCCATGTTTTTATAATACACATACCAGTAAATATATATATATATATGTCTTTCTACAAATATTTTGTTACAATAACTTAAAGGGAAACTCCGCAAAAAAATGAAAAATTGATATTTTGTTCTTAAAGCATAAAAAACCACATGTTAATAAATAAAAAACTTTTATTCTCTATGTAAAGAGATCAAAATCGATTTTTGAAATTCACTATCAGTTCTCGACATATCGCCATCTTGTCGGCATGTTCGATCTAAAAAGTCACGTGATATCTATAAACCACAAAGAACAAAAAGAATCGGGGATTTACCGACCGTGCGTTAAAAACTCCCATCATCAATTGGGGATTACCGTAGACAGTTATTCAGTGTCAAAATGTCTTGTCAAGCGTACGGTTGTTCTGTCAGACAAGGTTATGACAAAAGTCTACATAGTTTTCCCAATCCCACAAAAAAAAGAAAGAATTGTATCAGACGTGGTTGTACAACCTTAAACAAACAGCAAATAGTTGCATCTATAGCAAGCACAAGTTTGTGTGTGAAGACCATTTTGAACAATATTATTTCGAGGGGATTCGATGGTAATTATCCTTTTTTAATAACAAAATAACCTAGCAGTTCTGATAGCTATAGTTATCAAATCCTTATATGATAAGATCTCGTTGAATAAAAAAAATATAGATTTGATGAGAAAGAACAGTTTCAATTATAAGAAAGACAAATGCAGTGTTCTTGTAACAATCACTGATTTACAGAAGATTCATTAGTATGCCTCTTTTATATAAAGTGCATTGATTTGTATTAAGAATAGTTCCGTATTTAGACAAGATAATTTTTCAATTAATAAAGTTATACGATATAAAATAACATTTTTTTAATTATGATATTTAACGGCTATTGACAAGGAGCAATGTTAGGAAGAGGTTTTAGCTGGGACATAATATGTTGATATAGTATAATATTCCCAGGTTATAGATGTTGAAATATCAAAATATCGGACATCTCAATTTTTTTATTAAAAGTGGGTTTCTTTTAACTAATCTTTAAATTATATCAAATTGATACGGGATCAATTCGGAACGGTCACTTATAAAGACACTTAGCTTTACAGTTAAATGTGTGACTCTATCTGGTATGTTCGGTGAAAAATTTATAGGTTTTTTTTCTTTTTAAATTTTATTTACGTTATCTTATTATATATATATATAATATATATATTTTAGCTTCCTCCCGAATTGATAATACGTATGTCAGAATCATTGATAGATGTCGTGTCAGAGCGACACATTCAGTTAGGTATTCCAAGGACGTATATTAGATACACGTCCCTGGGTATTCCAGTGACATCCTATCAACTAAAAATTCGTATTACACAATTATATAATACAGGTTCATGCATGGCCTCTTTATTGAGGTACCCGGTGTGCACAGGTAACATTTATTGAACCATATATTTGTGTATAACGTTGTTTATCTTGTGTGTTTTTGAAATTATAATTCCACCTTTTAATGAATGATGTTCTGGTAATAATATTATCCACTATTTTTGCTGATAATAAGTTTAAAAAAAAATATAAATATGACCTTTGAACATTTTTGTGAAATGAATATTGTTTTGTCATGATTCTGGACCATATTTTTGAAAAAAAATTCTTCACGCAAATACAAGCTTTTGTCGATTGGCAAACATGCAGATATATAAAGTAATGCAGCACTTAGTCACTATCAATATTAATTCATTGAAGATAAGAGAACCCTTCTCTATCTAATGTCCCTATCTTTATAAGGATTAGGACGACAGGGGAAAAGGGAGCGGAGATAGAGTGGCATAATGAAAAAAAAATAACCGAATAGAGAACAATATAGAGAATGATCGACGAAAAGCGAAATAGTTATTGTTAAGGAGCGGAGATAATTTAAGAGAGGCATAGTGAAAAAAAATGTTTGCTTGAGAAAGTTATTGCTTGCTTTGATATTTTTAGTTATACAAAATCACACATCGTGTTACTAATTGGTATTCACGTGCACTAACTTGATGCTGGGAACAGTATACAATGGTATATTAATATATATGTTCCTGCTTGATGTTTTGAGTTTCTGCATAGCATGGTTAAAAATAATTAGTATCCCATTTGTTGTATCGTAGTGTCACGGTGTTACTTTGTTAAATTTATTTAGTTTGTTAATGATTGTGTAAATAAGAATAAATCTGTATAAAAACTTCATACCATTTTAGTGATTGCCTATAGGCGTTTGATTATTGTTACATTTAAGATATATATATATATATTTAGAACCTTTCATACATCTTAAAGTAAAAGATGTGTGTCTGAGTTAAACGACACAAGAACCCTGTAATACTAGTACGAGAGTATAGCATGTAAAAATTCCTACTCAATATGGTTGTATTGGAAATCTTTTCATACAGATTGACAACTCATGGTCCGACATGCATGTAATATTTGCCACATGACGCTCATAGTTCTTTCTACCATCATCATCTTATTCATTAAATATTGCTGTAAACATCGATGGTTCACACCCAAACAAAATGGGAGTAATATACCTTCAGATCTTCTCCGTGGTATACACTTGTGAATTATATAAACGAAATTCGGTATTGAAGTGAATCTTCATCTCACAAACACAATTTTTGAATTACGATTTTGAGTGAACACCCACCAAACCAATACAAACGTATGGCAAGATATAACCATGCAGGCATTTAGTTTTCGTCAGACACAAGATAAATAATCACCCTCATAAACGTATATATGCATGCAGTTTCAAATATCAAGAACAAGCGGTCGATGTCTATAGATCATTATTAAGTCGGTTAACTAACTGTTCAGAGTCAGACATGTCAATAGTTCATTCTTGGAACCTTCATATACCCCATCCGACAATGGGAACTCTTTCTGATAGTGTTGACAACATAAGCTTGTTTATCTGTACAAGTGGTTGCGTGGCCTCTCCTGCCCCAACAAACAAATACGCTACTAGTCTGCTATCTCTGGAGTTCATCCTCAATGGCGCTTATACGTCAGGAAACTTACAAGTATACTAGTGAAGATTGTTTCAAGAACAACGAGGTTGGGACGAACTGTTCTAAAATCGTCAATATCAGTAATATATTACAAAGATATGCCTTTAATTACAACAACTGTATTACTGATTTGGATTAATGACGGCTATCCTAAAAAGAATCCTCAAACAAATTAATGTATTAGCTTAGATTTATAATGTATGTATATTCATTAATGAAATAAACGATAATTGGTATTCTTTTCACAAATAATTTGTCTAAGTGATTGTCAAATGAATTTAATTATTTAAGAATGAAATGTTAGTAAGAAAATTAAAAAAAATCATGCATGTTGTACTGTTGTATTTTTGCAGTTAAAAACTTTAAAATTGTGATAGTTTTACGATTGTTAGCATTTAAACATCGCCAGATTTTAATACAAGTTGAAGAATTCCGGTAAAGTAAATTAAACAGATGTGCAATGATTATTAATTGGGAAATGTAACATTTAATTTTTAAGATTAAAAGTACTATTCTTTTAACTTCATATCTTAACTTTATGCTTATTGCATAGAACGTAACCGAAAATTGTTCCATTTTAATATTGTAACACTTCCGGAATTAAAAAGTTGAATGTTAATTTTCAATTAATTTATATAATTTAATTATTGTTTCTCTATTGTCATCGGGTATTTCATCTAGGTATATTAAACACGCTATACTCTTTCTGTTAATCCATTCAAAATGACAATATTCACACCTGTGTACGTTTGAATTCACACCTGTGTACGCCTGAGGCTAAATTGCTGCAAGGTAAAGTTCAAACGAATTCTCATCAAATCGAGAAATAAACAATGACTGTACAAAATAATATACACACTCTGTTCACAAATATTTTGCATTGAAATGGTTATCAAAGTTATAACGGTAAATAAAACTTAAAATATTTTCAGTTCAATATCAGTAAAAATGTTCTATAAGATATTTTATGAAAAAATCTCAATAATTTATGAAATTAATTCGAAAATATTTATATTTAGATAACTTCATATAGGAAGTTTTATTCAATCAATACAAAACGGTACACACATATTCATTTTCTTTCATTCTTATATTGTGGTTATTAACTACGACCAACGGTCATCTGTGCGCTTTTAATTACGTAAAATTCTGATAAGCAATTAAGACTTTAACAGATTTTATTTTTTCCCATGATTCAACAAATCGGGTTAAAACGTCACAACCCAGTGACGTAGGTCAACCAAAAAAGTTACAAATACTTGATTTTTTCCGTTATTAGAAAGAATTTAAATTTAAAACTTTGTGAATGTGTTTTTTATGTTAAGATGAACATATTTAAATGATAAGTAAAAAATCGCGGACTTTCCCTTTAAGCATATAGTTTACTTTTAATACTTTACACAACATTTCATGTCACTCAGTTCATACAGGAGGTAAACCTTAGTTTGAAAAAAAAACAAAGAATCTTTCAGTCTTTCATTATACATGTTATATGCAACACAAAATAAATTTAGGTAGAAATGATAAAAATTTCAAAGGCTAAAATCTTAAATTTAACATTTCAAATGTCATAAACTTCTGCTGTCAGTTCAATTCATATTCACACAAGGAATTATTTGAATCAAGAATAATTTTAAATTCTGGAACCTTTTTTTTTTTTTTATCAATTTTCAAGATTCAAATAATTCCTTGTTTTCATGTTAGAAAAGTCTTCTTACAGCTGAAGGTCCTTATATCTAAAGAGTCTACAAGGCTTAATTAGATCATAGATTTAAACATGTAAAAGTATGTGTGAAGAACTGGAGGCTCCAAGGAATGCAGTTATGTAGTAAGCATTTTTTTAATCATATGTATTTCCTTTTTTCATAGCTGATCCTAAAGTAAATCCAAGTTAAAAAGGGTAACACTTAATGCCCCCTGTTGCCTACGGCGGGGGCAAGGCAACAGGGGCATAATCATACAAATAATGGAAAATAAGATGGAATATGTCATCAAGACAAGCAACCTTACAACTCAATAAAGCAAAGAAAGACTTCTCATGCTTCTAGACTATATCATGAAAAATGAACTACAGTACTTATTTCTTACGAGTAAATGTATGCAACTTTTTAATAAATTCAATACTACATGTACACGGACCATTACTTACAATAGTTGTTCTCCCATTCAGTTATTTATAGATATCACTTCTATAGCATGTTTTAAACTAAAATTATTTTAAAATTTAAGACTATTATGTACTGATGAGTAGGTCAGATTTAAAAATTAAATTTGGTGTGTTTACAATGTAAAGTTCTATACATGCATATATGTTGGTGTTTGCTATTTAAAACTAAATCTGATATTACTGTAAAGTTAGGCCTAAAGAAAGTTAATGCCATCTAGAATTACATTAGATGCATCAACATGATCAATACTGAATTTGAGTTATTTAAAGAAAATGATGGACTGTTGTTTGCTTAACATCCAGTGGCAAATATTTCATGCCTAATTGTCAGGACAAGAAGAAATAAGTCCAATAATTATATATAAGGTTGATTCTGCAGTTAGTTGTCTGGAATAAAAGGCAGAAAATTTGGACTGCCGAAAAAGAGGATCGCAGCAAAAATTTTGCCTGCAGAGTATGGTTTTATTAAATTTGTCTTTAATAGATTAAGGTATAATGAGTTTTTTTTTTTAAATAAATAATCAGAATCAGTCAACTAAAATTAATCTTCAATTTACCAGAGTCAAACTCTTCGATATAGTAAGGAGGATGCTTAACAACCTTGTGGTATTCACAGGAAGTCAAGCCACCTTTTAAATATTTTTTGTAAAGCAAGTTGAATATTTATTATATATATATATTACAGGTCAATCAAGAGTTAAAATGACCTTTCTCTAGGACTACACATTGTTAATCACTATTGACTTCATTTTCTCCAACACACAGAATGAAACATATTTTTTTGTTATATATTTTGAAGTATGAAATATAATCTAGACACATTACTAAATGCTTTAGTCTTTTCATCACTCATTTAAATTTAAATTAAATACAAAAAAAAATTAGAGAGTTTGTAAACTTATAAAATAAAACAGCATTTTTGGAACAATGTCAAAATAACTACTTGAAAAATGATCATAAAAGAATCTCTTACCATCTAAGTAATGTAGATTTTGACTCCATTTAGCCACATCAATATTTCATAGGGTCAAAACATGGACATTCTATATATAAACACTTTCAGATGACCAATGGTCAGTTAGAATATATAATATTGATAATTCTAGCCAAGATTAAATCAATATCACAGGTGGATCACAATGACCTGTACTTAAATTACCACTGGCCAATATACAACTGACCAATAACAACATATTGGTCATCCAAGGTCAATTTATTACATAAGAAATAAAAGTGTTAAACATAAAGAATTAATTATAGAATTAATAATGACCTTCCTCAATTATTGTATTACACTTAACCTTTTTAAATGTCACTAGTTTCTAATAAAAAATAAAGGCTCCTAGAGAAAAAACTAAATAAAGGATGAACTAAATATGAGATCTTTAAGCCCTCGTTTTATATTTTTGTGTCATTCAGGTAAATTCGTTAAAATAAGTCACAAAATACATCATCTAATAAAACACAGTAGGGCATTTTCGTAAAATAAAGTAATAATGCTGAAAATAACTCTAATAATGAGTAATATCTTATATAATGAGTAAGACCAAAAAGGTGGCCAGGAAGTGTGACATTTGATAGAAAAATCAAAACTATAATCAGCATGTTTATTGTGTTTGTACTTGGGAATTTCTATCATACTTCCTCTGTCATCAAAAGTTTTCTAATTTTGCTTCTTTTTCCTGAAATTTAGAATGTTATGTTCCCAGATTATGTAACTTTTTTGGGGTCTAAATTGCTTGCAAGGGGACTCAATTTTCAATTTTCTAGATTTAAATAATAGAACATATTTTTTAGGCATACTCGAAAAAGAGCAATAGCCTGTTTATACATTGATACATGAAACAGACAAAAGTATAAAGGTATGGCCAATTTCCCCTGAATTTATTTCACACACGGGCCATTTTCAATAGTCTTTCAATATTCACTTAAAACTCTTCAAAACATTTCACTAATTGCTTGTGTCGATCCTTCTAGTGTGACTTGTAATATGCAGCACTGAATCACATTATAATTTCATGGAATTACGTCGACAATGTATGTAAAAATGGAGAAAAATGTTTCAAATTACCCATATTATTTCCAATATTCTAATTCTAATAGGATTTCATATCTTTTAAATTCTGACTCTGCCATTGAAATAATCACAAAGGAAATCCGTCCTACTTCTTCATATATATAAAGAACAAAAAATATCTTATAGCTTCTACCAAAGGATTTTTTAAAAAAGATTTTCAGGCAAACTGACCCTCAAAAGAACTAAGATTATCCAAGACTTCCAAAGAATTTTTTGAAAGAAGAAGAAAGTTGATACAGTAATTATTATAACATGTCCTTCCTTTTTCCTTAATGTTTACTAAGTATCTAAGAAGTCAGAACATGTTCCTGGGTGTTTATAAGAAAACTAAGTAACTAAATAGTCAGAACATGTTCCTGGGTGTTTATAAGAACACTAAGTAACTAAATAGTCAGAACATGTTCCTTGATGTTTGTAAGAAAACTACCGTAAGTAACTAAACAGTCAGAACATGTTCCTTGATGTTTGTAAGAAAACTACCGTAAGTAACTAAATAGTCAGAACATGTTCCTTGATGTTTGTAAGAAAACTACCGTCAGTAACTAAACAGTCAGAACATGTTCCTTGATGTTTGTAAGAAAACTACTGTAAGTAACTAAACAGTCAGAACATGTTCCTTGATGTTTGTAAGAAAACTACTGTAAGTAACTAAACAGTCAGAACATGTTCCTTGATGTTTGTAAGAAAACTACCATAAGTAACTAAACAGTCAGAACATGTTCCTTGATGTTTGTAAGAAAACTACTGTAAGTAACTAAACAGTCAGAACATGTTCCTTGATGTTTGTAAGAAAACTACTGGAAGTAACTAAACAGTCAGAACATGTTCCTTAATGTTTGTAAGAAAACTACTGTAAGTAACTAAACAGTCAGAACATGTTCCTTGATGTTTGTAAGAAAACTACTGGAAGTAACTAAACAGTCAGAACATGTTCCTTAATGTTTATAAAAAAACTTAGTATCTACAAACTACATTGTAAGTTACTTCCCTTGTTTTCAGGGGTTAAAAAATTTTGTTACAGGTAACTAGCCCAGGACTTATTTGCAGCAGAATTTTACTAGCCCTGTTGGAAGAACTGCTAGCCCATCAAAACTGACCTGCTAGCCCGAGAATGCCTTACAAATCAGAGTTTGCTGCATAATTACAAAGTGGGTGTCCCTTGTTTTGAAGGCGGCATTATACACTGTATTTAATAATTTTTGTTGACCTGCTTTTTATTCGTTTGGTAAACGAACAGTGGTGCTTATCCTAACTTAGTTGTTCCCACATTCAAAGCAGACTTTTTATTGGTGTGCTCAGGAAAATAAAGGTGATATTCTCTGTTTTTTTTCATCAGCAACACGGCCGACCTTGCCCAGGGGAATCTTTCTTTCCGGGACACTATAAATTTTCCTTTCCGCTGTTCCCGGTCGTATTTGGCATTTTTGGGGGATGAATTGTCAGTCTCATTACCCCCTTCATCTACAGTTTTTCGTTTTAAAACTGATGAAGTTCCTGGGGTGCCTGTACTAAAATATTTAGAAATATTTGGTTGCATGCTCCACAGCTGTCCGACAAGACAGGTCAGTACCGATCAATACATCATACCCCCAGTACCGTTAATTGAAAATCTCGGCATAAGAAATGTACAATCCCACCCCTCCCCCCCGTACTGAGAAATCGATATTTAAAGTATGAGATTTACGATCAATACATGATACCGGGCCACCCAGAGATATTTGTTCTATTTTTAAAATAAGTACAACAGGACCTGTACAAACCAGTTCAAATTCTTGGAATCCCGGATGACGTAATTGAATCTGATTGGCTAAGATTATTGATGAAGTGATGAAGGGATTTTCCACTTTCTATTTTGGAAACACCAAGAATTTTTTGTTACTAGTCCGTCGGGCATATTGGGTTAAAATTTTTGATTGCCTGAGGCGTAAATGCTCTAGTCCAAGGCGTCAGGCTAGTGGATTTTTTAACCCCTGTGTCTTGCAATTATTTCAAAATATACCCCATTAAATCATTATTATTAAAAATCTAAACAAATACAAAATATTAAAATGCAATGACATTTAATGTACATGTACACTACAGTCAGATAAAACACAATACAGGGAACAGTAAGGTTGCACTTGAGATCAAAAATAAAGGTCAACACCAGAGGAGGAGCGACAGCCTTAGGTGCTGTGTGCAAAAAGTTTTAGGTCACGTGGTACGATTTAAGCCTCCCTCGGCAATTTTGAATCTGGAAAAAGATTGATTTGTTCATGTTTTAATATCAAATATACTCTCTTGCACTCGCAGAAAATATAGAAAGTTTTGAAATAAAAAGATTAATCAATGATAGAAGATCACGTTATATGAAATATTTTCATTATTTTTTTTACCTTTTAAAGTAAATTTTATCAATAAAGAAATTCACTGAAATGGCGGGAATTTTTATTCGATCTCTGCGAAATCACGAAGCACAGATTTTTGTTAATTTTACAAATGTCAGAACGTGAAAATTATTCAAATTAATGCCAATTAATGCTTGTGACTATGATAATCTTTTAATTGACATAAATGGAACATGTTCTAAATCCTTAATTAACAATAATGTAGACTCTGTATGTGTAATTAACAATATGGAAGTTCTCCCTGAGGCTAATGAGTGTGTCAATGCAAATAAGGGTGAAATAGTTGGTGAGAAAGGAAGTGGTCTGCAAATTGAATGCAAACGCATTAATGATCCTAAATTGCTGAATTCATTTGGTCTTCAAAAAAGGGGATTAAAAATTGCTAATCTCAATATTCAGCACATATTGCCAAAAATTGAGGAAATAAGACTCACCCTTAATGAAAAGAAAAGTTTACATATTTTGGGCCTATGTGAAACATTCTTAAATCCAGAATTAGGTGATAATTTAATTGAAGTAAAAGGGTATGACATAATAAGAAGAGATAGACATGAAACCCAAGACAAAACAGGGGGTGGGGTATTAGTTTATATAAACAACTTAATGGCATATGAAAGGAGAGAAGACTTAGAGATTGGTAATGTTGAATCAATTTGGCTTCAGATCAATTTTCCATCCACAAAACCTATTCTTTTGTGTTCAGTTTACAGACCACCTGATATGAAAGTAGACTGGATAGATGCTTTTGAATTAGAAATAAGTAAAGCATCAAGCTTAGATTTAGAAATTATTATTATGGGTGATATAAATATTGACTATGCTCAAGGATGTAGTAACAACAAATGGTCCCATATGATACAGTGCTATGGTCTTACACAACTTACTGATAATCCAACAAGAGTAACAGATAAAAGTAAAAAGATCATTGACCATATATATACAAATAAGTCCGATAATATAATTGAAACATATGTACCTTATTTGGCATTAAGTGACCATTACCCAGTATGCCTTACAAGAAAAACAAATGTTAAAGAAATACCTGATTCTAGCCACAAGATCATAACTTATAGATGTTTTAAAAAGTTTAATGAAGAGAATTTTATATAAGAACTTCAATGTAAACCATTTAATACTGTGAAAGAAGAACATGACACAGACAAAGCTTTAAATATCTGGTATTCTCTTTTCAATAATGTTTTAAATAAGCATGCTCCAACAAAAACAAAGCGAGTCAAAAATGTTCAAAGGCCAGAATGGTTAACCCCTGAAATATTAACTGCCAGACAAAACAGGGATTATTACCATAAAAAGCATGATCTAGACAGATACAGGTTCTGGAGGAACAAAAGCACATCACTTATAGATGATGCAAAAACAATTTTTATAAAACATCTATTGAACAGGCTACAAATCCAAAAGAATTATGGAAATATGTCAAGGGGCTCAACCAAACTAAAAGTTCTCCTTTTCCATCACAACTTAAGATACACAATGGTGTTATCACAGAAACTCAGCATATAGTTGATGCTTTTAACAAACATTTTATAAATATTGCCCCGAAAGATAGCCTATCAACATCTAAATCATACAAATTTGATAGTAATAAGATTTATGAGGAGGTAGCA